GGCCCTGCCCGGACCGGCCGAGCGCGGGCAGCCGGCGCCGAACAGGTGCGCGCTGGAGTCGCCAGCGCGGCGCTCAGACGCAGCCGGGCATCGCAAACGAGCGGCCAGGGCCGAGCACTGGTTTTACTGCCAGGTCACAAAGGAGAAAACCCAAGTCCCGAGAGGTTGAGCAGTTTGCCCGGAGACCACACAGGGCCAAGGAGGACCCTCCCAAGTCCTGGGCTCTTTTTTTTTTTCCTGCATTTCCTGCGGCTGCCCCCAATGAATCAACGTGTTAAAAAAAATTAGTGAAAAATCTAACAGTGGTTTCCATTTTCCTTATACAATCGATTATGAATTATCTCTGAAGTTAATTTAAACTAGGCTGCCTACGTTTCACACTTGTTAAACCTCCTGCATTCTCCCATTTTCCAGATGGAGAAACTGAAATCACAGAGCCTGGAGCTCCCCTCAACCCTCTCACTGATAATAATAGTAATAACAACAATAGTTAATACTTACAGGGTGACTTTTCGTGTACTAGATTTTATATACATCTTATGGATGGGTCCCAATGGTACTCACTAGTTAGCAACAATTTATGTCTGACCTTAATAGGTGCAGAAATTGAGAATCAGAGAGGGCAGATTATATACCTGTAAATTCCAGTACTCAGGAGGCTGAGACCTAAGGATCAAGATCCAAATCCAGCCCCTGCAGGAAAGTCCACCAAGACTCTTATCTTCAAAGACCAAAAAGCCAGAAATGGTGCTATGGCTCAAGTGGTAGAGCACCAATCTTGAGTGAAAAAGCTCAGGGACAGTACCAAGGCCCTGAGTTCAAACCTCAGTACTCACAGAGAGGGGGGGGGAGGGAAGGAGGGAGGGACAGAGAGAGAACTTAGTATAAGTTACATATTGGGTAGAATCATAAAATTACCAATTTTATGGGTCCAATTGAATATCAGAAAAGAGTTTCTCCAAGTGACCAAAAGGAAAATTTCAAGTGGAGGCCAATGAAACATGAATGTTTTCAGGAGTGATACAGTGTGTGTGTGGCAGCAGAGAGAAACAACTATATTCTAGCCCAAAACAACCTCCATCTAATCATAATGCATAAACCCCAAATGAGGACATAGGAAAAGAAACGCAGCACCAATAAATTAGTAAATACAAATTTCAGCCACAATGGGCTATCACGACACAGCTCTGAGAATGGTCACAATGGGAAACGGTGACAGCACCAAACGCTGGCAAAAGGCTCAGAGGAGAAATTTCATGGATTATACATTGCTGACAGGCATGTAAACCAGCACTGACACTCTGGAAATGTTTAGCGGTCTCCTACAAAGCTAGGCCCACAAGCAGCACGTGATCTACAAAGCTAGGCCCACAAGCAGCACGTGATCTAGCAACTGCTCTCTGGGACACTTAATCCTCCAAACAAAAACCTATTCACACAAAAACCTATGTGCAGCTTTATTCGTAATAGCCCCAAATGGGAAACAACATCAATATTGTTTAGTGTGTCAATGGTTCTATTAGTCCAGTTTCTGTTGCTAACACACAATACCATACCCTGGATAAGTTATTAAGAAAAGAGACTTGTTTTAGCTCAAGGTTATCCAAACACAAGGGGCTACATCTGGTGATGACTTTCTTGCCAGCAGAGTCTAGAGGTAGCACAGCCTTGCAGGGCAAGGGATAAGCGTACTCTGTGTATGTGAGTGTGTCCTGTGGTCTCTTACCAAGTCACTGGGATTCAATCATGGTGCTCTACTCTGACCACCTTGTGAACTCCTCATGAGCTCCCAATAGCCTGGCACCGATAATCCACATACCACATTCAGATTAAGATTCCACCCTGTCAAGGTGTCATGATGGTAATTAAGATCCACCATGAGTTTCAAAGCAGACAAACCACATTCAAACCACAGTCATATGATTGTATACACTGAGCAATAAAAAGCAATGTACTATATTGATATATGCAACCATTTAAAAGAATCTCCAGAGAATTATGTTCACTGGGGGAAAAAAAGCTAACGTTAAACATAAAGAGCTGGAGGTCAGGCAAGTGCTCTCCCACTGCAGCTTCCATCTCCAGAGTCTCTGCATTTTGCCCAGGCCAAACTTGAACCAAGATTCTCCTACCTATATCTCCTGCATAGCTGGGATTGCAGATGTGGGCCACCATGCCTGGCTTATTTGTTGGGCTTTTATCCTGCCTAGCCTCAAAGAGCAATCCTCCTGATTTCTACCTCTGAGTAGCTAAACAGCACCTTTTTTGGTGCAGGGGAGGTGGGGGTGCTTTGTTTCACTTGCACTCTCCATCTTCTTGCCTTCGCTTCTTAAGTGTTGGGATTGCAAGCATGTACCACCATTCCCAGATCCCTGTATTGTTTCAACTCTTGTACATGAATCTGCACATATCTTGAAATAAAACACACTTTTAAGTTGCATACCTGCAGTTTCATATAATTCAATAAAACACTTGCAATGTGCTTGACTCCCTAGACTTGTGTTTTCATTGTCATATTTGATTTCTTCATGACTCTCAGGAGGCCAAGTATCATGTGCTAAGTATTAGGGTGGAGGGGTGGAGGCCTCAGAGGTGTGTCGGCCCTCAATCCGAATTCTTTTCCTGCTTTAGAACACGGCCCTTCATGGTCTAGGTAAGGGACATTGTAAATGCAATTATGAGATATTCCTGTCTTACTCTTTTTGCAATTCAGAATAAAGGGTATAAGTATCTTGAAAAATGTAAGAGAGAACTGAGGGATGATCTTCCTCTCTCTCTCTCTCTCTCTTTCTCTCTCTCTCTCTCTCTCTCTGAAATAGCTGAGTTTTCTTCTACAATAACCTTCATTCTTCATGGCATCCACACTGGAGAAATTGACCCGTAGAACAAACAATCTATTTAACAAAGCATCACAGGAACAGCAGTCACATGCTACCATCTCACAACCAAGGGATTCCTCTGCTCTTACCTCTGAGTTAGATCATTTAGTGTCTGGTTCTGATTTTCCATACCATCCATGAAATATGTTTGTGCCCTTTCCCCTCCTGACTTCATATTTTAACCATACACTGCTCACATTAGTAAAGAGGATTTAACCTCACAGCCTTAAAAGATCCCTTCCAGAGCCTGCCACCGTACTTCCCTGTATGTCCTAGGTTTCACTAACTGGTTCTGAAATCTTCAACATGGTCATAACCACAAGGGGCCCAGTTTGGACTTACCTTTCCTTCCACTGTCCTGACACATCCAGAGGATTAGATCAGCTCTTGGAGGAACCCCGTTGTTCACCCTTTAGATTTCACTGATCAGGGAAAGTTGAGAGGGATACTCTGACTTGCCCTTGCTGTCCAAACATCATGTGATTTCATGGCATTCCTCCAGTTCTGAGCTGGAATAAGGCCAGAAGGCCCTGGCTCCCACAGTTACAGTGTGCTTCAGGCAGATCCTGGGGGTGGGAGGCGTGGGGGAGGGGAACCCATAGTCACTGGAGACCAAGCGAAAAGAATGCAGCCAGGGAGATGTTGCACTGAGTGGAAACATCCCAGTGCCCTGAGGCACATTTGTGAGCACACACAACAGAATTTCTTCTCAAATGTCAAAAATGCAAACCCAGAACCTTCTGATTTGTACAGTGTACATCTGACTCATTGGGCAAAGAGAAAAAGAAAAGAAAAACCTTTGAATTGCATTCATGTCAACATGTTTACAAAGGTAAATTCAGAAATGTGAAAATGACAGTCTTCAAAGTCAATGAGATGTAAGATGTGTGTATATGTGTGTATGTGTGTATGTGTGTGTATGTGTATATCTATGTGTTTGTACATGGGTGTGTGCATGTATGTGTGTGCATGCACGTACGTAGCCAGGGTAGGCAACCTCCATCCTGCCATAGAAGGCCCTTAAAATCATTTGGCACATGACCAGATGGCAATGATGCTTCTCATTGGAAGCCTGAAGCCATCAGCCAGTGTTGATGCTTTGGTATGGCCTTTGAATGATGTTATAAATATCCAAATGGCCCTGGAGAGAAAAACGTTCCCCAACCCTGTAAGAAAGAAATGCAAAGGTCTGGAATTTTGACAGAGGTCACATCCTTCAAACTTCATAACGTAATTACTCTATTAAATTCAAGGAGTTTCATTATCACCGCCGCCGCCGCGGCCGCCCCCACTTACAGAAACTTCCAGGATAAGAATTACATGTAGAAAGCATTGAGGAGCCTCTAGAGCCACTGGGACCAACAGTGTTGGTAGTAATGCCTTGGGCATTGCTATTACTATCACTAGTGTGGGAAACAATTAGGGTAGTCTCTACTTCAAATTTATTTTTCAACCTGAATTTTCCAAGCTCACAGGATTAAAAAGCAGTATGTACATAAAGTCCCCAACCATGACATTGAAAGCAGTGATACAAGGTGTGAGAGGAGAGAAAGCAGCTCAGGTAAGAAGTTTTAGGGCAGGTAAGTCATTTGTTTTGATTATCTGTTGCTGTATAGTAAAGCAGCTGTTATAGTTTACTTAGGAAATGTCCCCCAAAGGCTCATGTATTAGTTGATTAGGTCATGAACTAACTGATAGATTCATGCCTGAATGGATTCATAACATGATGACATCATTTGGGAGCATGGAAAGTAGGTAGTGGGACCTAGATAGAGACATTAGGACTCTGAGTCCAGGTCCCTGGGGGGCTGTAGCTTTTCCTGTCCCCTTCCAATCTTCTCTTTCTCTGGCTCCCATAATGTGAGTTACTCCTGCTCCTCCATGCCCTCCCCGCCATGGTGGACTGACACCAAAATAAATCTTTCCTCCCTCAACCCATCTAGATCAGGCATTTCACTGCAGTAACACCACCTATAACATAGTAGTATAAAACACCTACCATTTCTGACTTGCTAATGTTTTTTGCAATGGGGGCAGGGCTCAGAAGGAACGCAGCAGTCAGCTGGGGTTGCTTAGGCTCAAAGTCCCTCCCACATATACGGTGGCTCTCCCACATGGATGATGGCTCTCTCCCCTCACGAGCATCAAGATGGTGCTGGCTGTTAGCCAGGAGATCAGCAAAGTACCTTGATTCTTCTCCACATGGTTTACCACTGGCATTCTTGAATATAGTTGGTGGGAGCCAAAAGGAAGGAAGCCAGAGCTGTTGGGCTTTCTTTAGGTCTTGGCTCAAAAAGTCTTCCCAAACTGTTTCCTGTACATTCTATTGGTCAAATCAATCACAAGCCCAGTTGTTCAGAAGAGGAGCCACATGCTTCATTTCTTGGTGAAGGGAGGGGCATGCACACACAAGAAACAAGCAATTGTTTAAGGTCATGTCTAGAGACTACCTAGTACAGGTCTAGTGGACAGAGAAAAATGCCCATCCAGATTCTCATCATTAGAGTTTGGATGCAATGTACTGAATACATTGAGGACAATGTATTGAATACCCCTCATTATGAGAGAAGAGGGATTCTACAAGAGGCCCACTAGATGGTGAAACAGCATATTAAGGGGCCATCATTCTAAGGCAAAATGATATCTCAACTTAAAAAGCCAGACCCAAAGAAACATAGGCTCCATGGTTTCCCTCATTTGTAATAATTACTATATGTCTAGGATAGTCCTAGCAGAGGATCACAATAGCTCAATAACTAGGTACATATGCCCATATATTTGAAGTGAACTCCAAGATATAGAAACAAGAGGTTTTTCTTTGTTTTTGTTTTGAATGTACTGTGTGAAGTAATTTCTTTTTTTTTCTTTTGCTTTTTCCCTTTGATTTATCTCCTGTTGTCACTGTATTTGATTTTGGTACCCTGTGTCCTGTATATGTTTATCTGATTTGGTAAAGTGAAAGGGAACAACAAAATGGTGAGACAAGGGACAAAGGGTGAACCAATACAACAGTGATACTCACAAGACAATGTTGGCAATGAACTTTATAACTTGGAGGGGGGAGTTGTAGGGGGAGGACAAGCAGGAGAAAAACGAGGAAGGGGGTAACAATGTTTGACAAGAAATGTACTCACTACCTTACTATGAACCTTGACAATAAAATTAAATTAATGTAAGAAAGAAAAGAAATATAGAAATCTTTTTGGAGCCCTACTATGCTCCAACTGAGCCTTGCTCATCTCTTCCTAGCTGAATAAAGGGCAAAGGGCACAAGGCTTAGCATGCAAAACATATATGGAACCCCACTTACTTGTCATTTTAATGTCTTAATACAAATACATAATTTTTTGGAGTCTGGCTAAAGAATTGGAAGAGAAATGATGCAGTCCATGTAATAAGATCTGACCTCTGAAGCCTTTCACACAACCCTTCACACTCTCTTTCTACTAGTTTAGCTGGTTGGATAGAAATCCAGGAGAAGCTCTGAGGGCTGTAGGATGGTGGATCCAGGGACCCTGAATGTTTGCATGACACAGAGCCCTCCCACTTCTCCACCCATCACATTTGACTGCAGTATGAATGTGTTTCTTAACACATTTGCCATACCCAGCACTGAGATTTTGCAGTTGTTTGGTAACAGCAGTTTGAATAGACTTAGTAATATATCTATGCAGCCAGAGAAGAAGAAATATCTGATTCTAGGAGATGGCCTGGGCAACATGATATCATATGAAAACTTTCAAGGGAAGGTTAGCTGAGCTGTATATCAACATCTCCTAAGGGCCACAAAGAGCAACTGAGATCATTTGACAGCACTCCAGAGGACAAGTTTCTCTGAGTTATGCTTACTGTTTCACACTTCCCACCACTGTAAGTCCATCCAGTCGTGAGTTGTTGATGATGGTGAGAGGTAAACTGGGAGAGCAGAGAGAAAGGAAGTATCAAGTGGGGAAGGATTGGAACATATGAATACCCAAGAAAGCTCAGCTTGAAATATTGAATTGCCTTTATCCTGTGACAGTAACTCAAACAAGGGCATTCTTTCTTTTCCATAAAAATGATCATAGCTAGGCACCAGTGGCTCATATGTATAAGCCTAAGCTACCCAGGAGACTGAAATCTGAGAATTGCTGTTCAATGCTAGCCTAGGCAGAAAAATCTGAGAGACTTTTATTTCCAATGAATTTCCAAAAAGCCAGAAATGGAAGTATGGCTCAACTGGTAAAATGCCAACTTCGAGCAGAAAAAGCCAAGCAAGAATGCATGGTCCTAAATTCAAGACTCAGTAATCTCTCTTTCTCTCTCTCTCTCTCTCTCTCTCTCTCTCTCTCACACACACACACACACATACAAACCTACTTTGAAGTGATCCTGCATTGGTCCCTCAGATACAACTTTAAACAACTATAAAACCTGGCTTCTTCACTCGAAGAATTTGTTGTCTAATAGAAGAGAAAGATAGTAGACAACCAGTAATCCAGCAATTATATAAATATATGAGGTAAGTGGTGTAGGAAGGAAAAGCACAGAGTGCTGGTCCTGTTGGAGAATATATAGCAGACAATGGGTAGTGAAGGGGAAAAGTGAATAAGCTCATGGAGAATCAATGAAAGGCTCCTTACGAAAATGACATTTACTTTTAGAACTGCTAAACTGATCAGAGTTGTTGGGAGGGGGCAGAATACTGCTATTACTACTCATCATTACCAATATTCTCATCAGTGTAGAGGTTTAGATGGGATCTCCCTATGGAGATTAGATTGGCTGGCCTTGAACCTGAGATTCTCTTCTTAAATTCCTGAGTTCTTGGACTGCAGGCACAAGCCACCATACCCACCCATCACCAATACTTTTAGAAGACTTATTATGTATTGGGTAATGATCAAAAAGTATCTGACATATATAAATGAATTTAATCATGGGGTAAATATTAGTATAATTCTGAGTTTACAAATTAAAAAAAATGCTGAGGCCCAGAAATGTTAAGAAAGGGCAAAGGAAGAACTTGAATTTTTGTGGTCTGGCTCCAGAGTTCATATTCTTTAGGCAAGACAGTCTTCTGGGACCAGGTAAGATCAGAGAATATCTAAGTGGTTAAAGCTTGGTGGGCAATGGGGGTAGGTGGCACAGGAAGAAAGAAAGGAAAATACAAATTTGATTTTGGAATTCCTCATGGACAGGGCTAGGGGTCATTGTGACATGTATTATGAGGTTAAACTCTCATTATTGTTAGTGTCTGTTTTGTCAACACAAACTTGGTGATCTGCAGGAGCCACAGCTGGTCAGGAGATGTGGAAGTGGTCCTCGCCATTAGCAGTTCACACAGCCTGTCATCCCTAAGGAGTTCTGCAGTTCCCTTCTGGTTGACTGAAATCCTGGTAGTGTTTCCTGCTGTCCTCTA